TATATCAAACGAAACGGCGGTAGCCGAATAAGGTTAGGTCATGCAAAATATGTGCTCAGGAGCGCATGGTGGGCTATTACAAATGCTGGCAAGGAAGAAGTATGGAGGCCTTGCAGCAATCCAAAAACGATCACAAAGCTTCACTCCCCAACCGGAAAACGTATCTCACTACTCGGCTTTCAACCGCTTTCACGCTCAGCCTCGTTAAACAAAAAAAATCATGTCAAGTAACAGCATACATACGAGCGGCGAAGGAGCTGTCTGTGAATTCAGACAGGACTTCTGGGTAGTTTAAACGTACTTTCTTACCGGTTCCGGGATTCTACTGAATTAAACGTTGTGTTTGGGTACAGTTTTATACGTACTTTCACGTTGTTTTTTTTTCGATAACATTTAAAGCGGTCCAATCTATGGAGCTACACTCAGTTTGATTCCGGCAGCAGTACTCATTTTCCACGATAAGGTAAGTCCGTAGAAGGTCGCGGCTGTAGAATTGTTTAATCAATTTTAACTTGTGCTTATTTCAGTAGCAGTGGATGATGGCTCTCAAAGAAAAGCATATTTTTCACATGCGTCTACGATATTCTTTAAACAATATAAATTACTCCATCTACCAGCAACTTTTAATACTATTAACTTCACAAGTGAGATTTAAGCTTTTTGACTGTACTATATTTAGAATGTGCGTTTTCCTTAGAAAAAATGAATCATCTTCTTTGTTAGTCGATCACATAGGATACTAAGTGCCAGAAAATCATTTTACCTTGCTCACTGATGTTCCGAATGGAACGCACGCTTCAAAGAAGGTTCTAATTTATTATAATGTGTGGCTATGACACCAGTGATTTTTTCTTGAAACCTTATATTTAAAGGTCATGTAAAATTTTCGAGACGTCTGTTTCTGGAGTACATCGTGTCTACGAATGACCCCGACCAAAGTTGTGGAGAAGTACTACATAGAAGAAGTCCTTCGTTGGCGAGGGTACTAAGGAAAGGAAGAGCTCCGACCCCGTCGGTGCCAAACGACGCGTTGCTTTGGTCAGTTACAGTTGCTGCCACCAACGCCATACTGGCTGTTGCGGTCGCTACTGTGTCAGCCATCATTCGCATCCGCACAAGAGGTCTTTTGTCGTCACCGCCTGCAAAAAGCCTTTTCGTCTAACGTTCGAGCTTCACGTCCATATGGCCAGACTACAGCATCCAAGAAAGAAAAAAATAATGCCAACAAGAGTGCGTTCAAGTCGCAAAAGGTGGGTCGCTCCAGAATGGTCGTACCTGGTGTATATCTCTACTTTGTTTGTTTGTGTATACGTACAAATGTGTCCACGTAATTCCTCTTGGTGGCTTCTGCCTTACTGCGGTAGCTACGGTACAGTTTCATAGGGCTAAAGTGGGATGGAAAGTAGGATGCTGGGAACTGCTGGCAGAAGCAAACAAAGAGTAGAATGACGACTACATGTTTCTTCGCTTCTATGTCCTCATACGCGTAGTTCATCATAGCCTGCTGTTCCCATTACTTTCCCTCATTACCAGCACTTTCGCCTCTGGTGGCACACTTTCCACGTCACTTTCCTCACCGCTATACCCATTCTGGTCATCATTTTAACTTTCCGTCATCCAGACACATGCAAGGGTGAAGGAGAAATTGTGTGTTTCGCGCAATTAATTGAGGCTATTTCGGCGATGGCAGCAAGACCGACGGTACCACTAAAATAATACCAACAATAGTAAAAGGTCCATGAACATGGCATGAAGGGTCAGGCGACCAGGTGGACCGAGGACATAAATGGCGACGCCAGGAAAACTGCAGCGCTGACGAACCTTGCCAGCGAAACTTAGGATGATGCTGACGGCTCTGACGTTGCCGGCTTTATTTCGGACGGATTTGGACCTAAACCTGCTACTGGCCCTCGTACGGTTGCCTGCCATTATGAGAAGGTATGTTCGCCACATAAAATAGTTTGATGATGAAAGCCCCCTTCTCAGCTGTCTCCCTTTTTCTACTCTCGCTTTCCTGTTAGTCCGTAGAAGGGTCGTTCTACCTCAAATTGATAGGACCTTGACAAGACGCATCATCCGAAGCCTTTTTGTTCTCACTTTCCAATCTCTGCCATTGCTTTTTCTTACGAACAGCAAAGAGCTAGGAGCCTTGTAAGCGCCGCGGTACTAACCCTTTTTCAACGTTCGCGCTCTAACGTTCTTTCAATTAGTAGCCGCTGGTCAGGTGACAAGAAGGAGCGCAGTAGCCCCATAGACACCCATACAAACTCAAGCGCAAGTACACAGAGACTAAGGCCTGTAGAATAGGACCACGCAGTTTCCTGCGAGAATGGCAATTTTCGACAGCGCGCTGACAGCGAGGCCTCATCGAAAACGGGACAGCAGGGATAAACGAAAGGGTGAGTATATGTACAGAACTGGATCGGTATACACAAACGCAAGGGATTGACGCAACGTATGGAGGACGTAAAGTAGTTGTAGATGGGCTGGAGTGGGAAACGCAGGTGTCACTTGCAGAAGTCTCCGCATACAGGGAAGGCCCATAGACACACAAAGCCGAGCGATATGCGACTCAGCTATCGGGTACCTTACCAAGCTTCCTCTAGTAGCACCTTATAGGGCTATCGTAGTGGTGACCAGTTGTCTGTTTAACTCCATCGGCGTCCTGTTAGTGAGAGATAATGCTAATTATCATCGACGGCGATGCTCATTAATCATCCACCTAATAGAAATGCAGACCTTTCTATGATCATGAGTAGAAGTAGCTAAAGAATGCGCCCAACGTAACAACCGCGTTCCTTCTATTTTTGATTGCTAACAAGTCCACTACGTTCTAATCCCTAGAAGTTGGGAATGAAAACGGTGCATCCTTTTAAAACCTGCCGCTAAATTTCATCATTCAAAGTGGTAGGTATGGCCAGAAAACAAAGTATTGGCCTTAATTAATTAAGTATTCTAGGAGCGATAGACAAGATCAGCAACCCCGTTTTTCAAATATGAAGAATTGTATGTTTGTTTAGACTGTTATGATCGCCTAGAAGAATACAAAGAATTGTTATCATAGCAGTTCCTATCTGCTTTCATTTTTACACGATACTTGAATCGACAAAATGCTTTGTGTTCTATGTGATATTGATGTGTGATATAGACTGTCACTACAATTATTTGTGCTTTACGTTGTGAGCGATTCACGCTTTATTCAGATTTTTATTTTACCTTGTTATTATAAGAACATGAATCATATTTGATCATTTTTAAGCTGCACGTTTTCGGAGACTAAAAAACTGAGTGAAGTTTTTCTAAACAAACTGAAAAATTCAAATATACGTAGAAGTACAGCATACTAAATATATATAAAATAGGTTTGTTAGGACGCATTTAGCACATTTTATTAAGCATTACTCTTCTACGGCTCTGATATATACCATCCATAAAAAAAAAAACTTCGGAGTTTTAAAAAATCTAAAATCACGTGCGCGTTAATCATCGCCAAAGGAATGGATGATGC